TAGTATAAAAAGTTGATGACGTCAGTCGTGTATAATGATAGAAATTGCTACCAGGTTTGTTGTAATGTTAACCAAATCTGCGATTAGGTACCTGTTTGCACCTGTCCTGTCAGTCACTTTCTATGTAGTTTTATTTACATTTATTAATAGACTTGAATAATTTCACTTCGTTCTATACTTTATTTTAAATAAAATAACTGGAAGGTAAAAATGCTGAAAAATGTTTAATTCATTCTAAATGGAAGAATTGCAGTCTACTTATTATATCTTTCGTCGTACGCTCTCCAAGCATTAGTTAATGCCCTAATACCTAAAATATATCTATATGGATTGGTAGATATAAATTAAGCTATAATCGAAGGCAAAGTAGTATGCAAAGGTTAATGTTTTACAACCTTAATTGTTACATGTCCAGAGGAGTTAGAAACTTGAGACCGTTTATCCGAATATCCGAGGATGTGATAATTGGTGTTCCACGTTTCCGGCGCACTTTCTAAATCCCGCGTAATCCAGTTCGGCTACTTTATGCAAAATACCGGATATGTTGCCTCGTAAGCTATCTTTTTCTCTTTTCTTGCCTCGTAAATGATGCAAGCTTTCTTTGTAGCACAACTAATTGTTAGATGCTATTGTTCTGAACGGACATTCAGTTGTTTCCTGAGAATAATGAAAGTAGGATTTCAAATTGAAATTCTAAATTGGATGGAAACCCTTTGAAACTCATAGAAAGATATTAAAAGAAATTGCAACTGGTCGTCGAAGTCCAATACCGTTTGTCACGCGAAACAATAAATTTATGTTCTAGGCCAGGCAAATTATCACTAGACCAGATTTATTTGCGCTGATAATTGTTGGAATCCTTGAGCTCTAATAGCAACGATAGAAATCGTGAAAAGGCAACACTTCGTATCTGATCCATTGAAAATTTGAAATATTATGATTAATAGTTCGACTTTGCACTACACTCTAAGCGTAGAATCATCGCTTTATATTATACTACTGGCTAATGAATATTCATGCAAATTCTCACTTTTACGAATTAAAAAAATAGGTTCCAAACAGAGTCTGTCTTTCACCTGGAATGCTGCATTTTTAATACTATCTATATACGTGTTTCATTTAATTTGGTTGGTTTAATCAAATTCGATTGAACAAAAATTTATATCTTTCTCTTCCAATTTTCCAATTTATCCGATTCTACAGTGTAATTTAAAAGTTGATTAAAATTTTATTTCGTCTGCTTATCATTTCAAAGATACCGAATAAATTACCTACAATTATTACTAGTTTACTTCAAATCGGAGTTCATTTTTCCTCTTGTAACGAATTCCTAATTTAACTGATCCCGCATAATTCAAAGAGATGTCAGAACAATATTCAACAACATCGATACTTCGATAATAATAACCTCAAAAGATAAAAAGAAATGGAGACTAATAGAAATCGATATATTTCTCTCTTGTTTTTCAACTTCTATCCAATTCCACGACAGCTTAAGGAGATTTTCAAGCGATCGATTTATGGATCGGCGTCCAGTGTTTTTCCTACGGACGCATCTCGTATACTTGCGAGAGTCGCATCGAAAATAGATCGTCGCTTATTTTCGGTGGATCGACCATTCGCCTCCCCTCGAATCGTTATTTTTCCCTTCCTTTTCTTTTTTTTTTT